GGGGTTGTTAACCAATGTCATAAAACAGCATGTGTGTTACTGTTACATGAGAAACTATCTGTTCTGTAAGCCTTCACCTGAAGTACAATAAAACATTAAAAAAAAAAAGAGTGATATGACCATGTACAGCCGTTGTGGAAAACAGTGGGGTGCTTCCCCAATAAACTAAAAATAGAACTATCATATGACTCAGCAACTCTACTTCTAGGTCTATGCCCAAAAGACTTGAAAGCAGAGACTCAAACAGATACTTGTACACCAATGTTCACTGCAGCACTATCCACAATAGCCAAAGAGTGGAAACAATCTAAACACCCATCAATGGATGAACGGATAAACAAAATGTGGTACGTACATACAAGGGAATACTACTCAGCCAGTAAGAAAAATGACGTCTCCATGCATGCTACAATATGCATAGAGCTTGAAGACTTTATGCTGAGTGAAATAAGTCACTTAGAAAAGGACAAATATTGTATAACCTCACTTATATAAAAAGACAAAAACAGGCAAATGTATAGAGACCAAAGTTTATTAGTGGTTACCAGGGGCGGGAGGGAAGGGGAAAGGGAGGGTTACTGCTTATGGAATACTGAGGTTCAGTATACAGTGATGGAAAAATCACATTGATTAAGGGTAGGGCTGCACAGCTGATTAATGCAATTGCTGTCAATAAGTTGTACACCTGTAAAAAGTTGAACTGGCAAAAGTTGGATAATAAATACATTTACAACAAAGACAAAAAAAAGAGTAGCTGCTGAGACTACTTATGTACAATCAAACACTTCATGGGATATGGTTCCTTGGTTTGGAAGTTCAGGGTCATGGTTTCATGGCACATCCCAGTTAAGTGGCCTAATAACGTGTTTAGTGGTTTTGCTCTACCTCCTAGTTCACTGCGGAGTACATGATGTCTTAAAAGTTTGCAAGTGGCCATCCAAGGCACAACAACTGGTCTCTATTCACTTGGAGCAACAGAGGAAGGAGAGTCAGGAACAGGAAGAGGATATGGAATGAGTGGCTAATTGCCTCCATGAACAACTGCCTCCTTTGCCATGAGATCAGAAGAACTGGATGGTGTCAGGCTACCATTACTGAATATTTTGATCAAAGATTCTATAGAAGAATTCTGATCAAAAGGGGGAAAATGCAGAACGGAATTTCAAATTCTCATGGACTCCAGACTTTCTGGAGCCATGGAGGGTGCATGAATCCCTAAAACTACTTCCCTGAAATAATCTTTAAACTTTAAAACAAAAATATCCCCTGCAGTCTTCTTATTAAAACCAAACAATAGTTTAGCTTAACTAGTAAAGAATGTCTGCCTTAAGCATATGCTCTTTTAAGATCTATCTACATGGGATTGAATTGACAACAGCAACTTGAAAGATTAGATAGTAACCTTAGAGGGCAGTGAGTTTATGGTAATGGGGGAGGAACAACTCAGAAAAGGAGGATGAGAAAGGCTGCACAACTCAAAGAATGTAACCAATGTCACTGAACTGTACATGTAGAAACTGTTGAATTTGTGTGTATTTTCCTGTGTATATTCTCAACAACAACAAAAAAAATTAATTTTAAAAAAAAAGATAAATATCTCAACAGTTTAAAAAAAAAAAAAAAAAAAAGAGTGATATGACCACATTTAAGTTTTGGTAAGACAACCCTGGCGTCAGGTAAGCAATGAATGGGAAGAGGTGAGACTGAGGCAACAGAACCAGTGAGTGGTTCCTGCAATAGCCCACAAAAAAGGGGATAAACCTTGCATTATTAAAACAGGCAGGGAGGATGGAGAGGAAGGGACAGCTATGAGAGGTATTCTTGGTGCCAGACTGCATATGGAGCCAAAGGATATGGAGGAGAGTAATATGGCTCTGGGTCTCCAGTGTAGCTAACTAGGTAATCAGAATATTTTAATTCAGTATCCTTAAAAGCTTTGAAACTGGAGGGTAATGGGTTTCTCTTTATATATGGTTTTTCTGGCCATGGTCTTTTAACTCCCACAAAATGAATGGCTGGGAATATGCAAATAAGGCATGTAAAACTCTTGCAGGGATGGAGACTATGTAAATAAGGTGCCTATGGCCCACCAAGGGGATTGGTCAGTTTTGCCATCCCACTAGGCTTAATCCAATCCTACGGGTTGAGGGGGGACCTCACTATCATCAAGAAGAAAAGCCAGGAGTGGAGCAGGTCCTTTGGACCCAGCATCCCTGCACTGAGAACATCCTAGATCCAGGAGACAGAGAACTATAGCACTCGACAGCTGTAACACTGGAGACGGCAGCAGCACAGGACAGAAGTGGCATAGAACCAACAGACAGCTACTGTGAGCTCGCTGAGCCAAGGAGAGAAGAGATGGAGTGCCTTCTGGCAGAAGGCTTCCTGGTGGAGCGGGATGCCTCTGGCCATGTGTTCACGAAGCTACAGAGCTGTAACACTTGCCTGAGCGGGGCAGAGGCCAAGAGCAAGGGCTGGCAGTAGGCATGACAGAGAAGGAGCTGAGAAGCTGGAAGCTGTCCTGATTAATAAACTGTATTCTGTCTCCTGAGTTGTTCCTGTTACTTCCAAGTTGATCCTGATCCTGAACTGTAACCTGTTATTTCCCTAATAAACCCAGTAATTGTGAGTATGGTCTATGAGTTCTGTGTGGCCACTGCAACATATTATCAAACCCAGCAGAGAAGCAGAGAGTGCTGTGGGAGCTGTTGTCAGAACTGGTAAAAAGGTTAGAGAGTGGAGATAAGTCTGACTTCCACTTCATAGGAATTAGCTTTGGGCTGATCTTGATTCTCAACTCTCCCCCTGAAGTTAGGCAAGATCGGAAGCCAATACATTTCAGAAACTAAACTGTGCAACAAGATAAGAGACAAGCAAACCTGTGACCGAACACTGACTCCACTATTTCCAAACTGTGACCTTAGGCAAGTTGCTTCATCTCTGTAACTCAGTTATCATGTCTTTAAAATGCAGATAATAGTACCTACCTCTTGGGACTGAAAATCTATCTTAAACCTTCTGAGCTGGTTTCCTCTTTTGTAAAATGAAGACATTTATATTTTTACTGTAGTGTCTTTGTGAAGATTAGAGACAACATATGTAAAATGCCTAGCACATTGTCTTAGTAGGTGCTCAACAAATATTAGTTGGCTGATTAATGACGGAAAAAACTAGATTAAGATGGAAAGGGAATAAGAGGAGAAAGGCTTTAATAAATTTAAGGAATTCAAGAAATCATCCAGGCTTGTAAGTGCCACATGGTCCAGGAATATACACAATTCATTGTTTTATATCCTGTGGTTGCCACACCCAGGGAGTAACTGCTGCATAGAGAAATAAATAAAGTACCAAATGCCTCTTGTCAGAACCTAGAGAAAAACAATAGGGATGAACCCCTGAAACCATTTCTGATGGTTAAGGTTATGTGTCAACTTGGCTAGGCCATGATTCTCAGTGGTATGGCAGATATTATATAATCATTCTCCATTTTGTGATCTGATATGAGCAGCCAATCAGTTGAAAACCAATCAGTTTCCCTGGGGGTGTGGCCTGCATCCCATATATATGGATGTTCTGACAAAGCTCTCTCTGGATCCTGCATCGGACTCATCATCCTCTGATCTCTGGTTCTTGGGATATGAGCCAGCAGCCTGCTGTCTGACCTGCAGATCTTGGGATTTGCCTGCTCCTGAAACCCCTTGTCCCAGCAGGCTTCCGCCTAACCTGCCAATTTTGGGTCTGTCAGGTCAGGAGAAGTCTCCAGCCTGACGCCTGACCCACGGATTTGGGACTTGCCAGCCTCCACAACTGTGTGAGCCATTTCCTTGAGATAAATTTCTCTATATATATATACTTCACTGGTTTTTGCTCCTTTAGAGAACCCAGCCTAAGACACTATTGCCCCGAGATAATCTTTAAACTTTAAAACAAAAATACCCCCTGAAATATTCTTATTAAAACCAAACTGTAGTTTAGCTTAACTAGTAAAGAATGTCGGCCTTGAACATTATGCTCTGAAGAACTATCTATATGGGATCAAACTGATAACAGCAACTCAAAAGATTAGAAAGGAACCTTAGAGGGGCAGTGAATTTACATTAATGAGAGAGGAGCAACTCAAAAAAGGGGTTAGAATAGTTGTACAACTTGAAGAACGTACTCAGTGTTACTGAATTGTACATGTAGAAACTGTTGAATTGTGTATGTTTTGCTGTGTATATTCTCAACAACAACAACAAAATAAATGAAAAAAAAAAAAAGAATTGCACGCAGAGAGAAAGAGCAGTGGCAAGAATAACACCAAGGATTCTGGCCTGAACAACTAGATGAATGGAGATGCCATTTACTGAGAATGAGAAAGAAGTAAGATGTTAAAGGAGTTAAGATTTGAGATGTTTAGCAGACGTGCAAATAAAGATGATGAAAGAAAAATGCTGTGTGAGCTATGAAAAAGAATGTGAGTATTAGCTATAACTAATTATCATTATCCTTACCTTAAGAGGAAAAAGGCTTGTTTGAAAATGGTATCATTCCTCAGGCACAGCACCTACAGCAAAACAGCCATGTTAGGACAATCTTAAGCATTCACAGACCTCCAAGCACCGCTTCTCAAAGAAGGCTAGAAACTCAGAGTACACAAACCAAAAGGATTCAAAGGCTCTTGTCTAGCAAAGAAGCTGTTCTACCGTTAATACTAAACATGCATGTCCTCATCTTTCTTATTCTACCCCAAAAGAAAATTCTCAAAAACAGAAGCACCCCTCCTCACCCTGCTTTTTATTACTTTTATTCTCATCTTGATCTATTTTTTCTAATATCCATCAACAACTATTATATATCTGCCATGTACAGGCACAATGCAAGAGGCTTTCTTAAATCTTCTCTAATTCTTAAAACAACACTCTGAGGCAATTTTACAAATGAAGCAACTGAGCCCCATAGAGGTTATATTCCAAGAAATCATAGCTAATAAGTGGCTAAGCTATGCCTGTTACAGCACACTGTCTCTCTCAATGATAATATGATACCAACATCAACAAAACAATAATGAGAAGAGGCAGTAACAGTGGCAGCTCTCCTCCCTAAGCTTCCCCCTTCCACAGTTATTTCAGTGTCACCCTGCCTTGACTCTGGGGCACCTACCCAAAAGATCAGAGATATAGACTTACTAAGGGAGCATTTAACATAGAGGGATCTTTTTATGAAGTAATTAGATAATAAATATTAAATGTCCTTAAGGTCCTATGAGGAGCCTTGGTGCTGCAGTGGTTAAGGCGCTCGGCTGCTAACCAAAAGGTCGGTGGTTGGAATACACCAGCCACTCTGCAGGAGAAAGATGTGGCAGTCAGCTTCCATAAAGATTTATGGCCTTGGAAACCCTATGGAGCAGTTCTACTCATTCTGTGCCATGAGGTCTCTACAAGTCAAAATCGACTTGACAGCAGTGTGCTAAGACCCTATAATATAAAGAGAAAATCCTGCTCATGCTCACTACAGGAAACAATTTCAATTCCTTCAGCATGTATCTGTTAAAAGCCTATTATGCAAAAACAAGGAAAGTCTGAGAAACTGTCACAGTCAAGAAGAACCTAAAGAGATAAGACAACTAAATATAATGTGGTATCCTGGATGGAATCCTGGAACAGAAGAAGAACACTTGGTAAAAACTAAAGAAACTGGAATAAAATATGGATGTTAGGTAATAATAATGTATCAATCTTGGTTCATTAATTGTGACAAATGTAGCATACTAATGTAAGATGTTAATAACAGGAGAAACTGAATGTAAGGTATATGGGAACTCTCTGTATGATCTTTGTAACTTTTCTATAAATCTAAAACTATTCTAAAATAAAAACTTTATTTTTAAAAAGCCTATTATGCACCAACTACTGTGCAGGGAGATAGTTAATAATTAAACGTAATATAAAAGCAAAACATAACACAGATGAACCTTGAAAACATTATGCTATATGAAAGAAACCAGTCAGAAAGGACCAAACATTATATAATACCATTTACAGAAAATATCCAGAATAGGCAAATCTACAGAAACAGAAAGTAGATTAGTGGTTGCCCATGGCTGAAGGGGTTGGGGTGCTGGGGGTGACGGCCAAGAGGTATAGGGTTTCTTTTTGAATGATGAAAATATTCTAAAATTGATTGTGGTATGATTGCACAATTCTATGACTATATTAAAAGCCACTGAATTGTACAGTTTATATGGGTGAATCGTATGGTATGTTAGTTACATTTCAATAAAGCTGTTAATACATATGCACAATCCCTTCCCTACAGGAGTTCAGATGGCTGGAGATACAGACATACATTCATATTTAACAGCCAGGCAACACTGCAGGCATTACTTGATTAAGTCAAATAGCTGGTATGAACAACAAGCACCCCTGGCAGAATATCCAAGTGGAGATGGTCAGGAGAAGTTTCTCAGCTTTTGCTGAGGATCTTCTCAAAGACATGAATACTCTCCCCAGCCAAATGGATGCTGGCATGAATATACACTTCAAGAGATTCCACTGAAACCCTTAAGATCACCCATGGTCCCCTACGCGAAACCAAGAGATTCTCAGGGGCAAGGGTCATGTCTTATTCCTCATGCACATTGTAGACACTCAATAAAGGTTTGTTTTGATGAATAAATAAGTGATTGGAAAGAAGAGAACGAGTGATAATCATCGCTACCATTTATTAAGCACCCACATTTATCTTGCTGAGTACCTACCATGTGTCTAAATCATAATAACCTTACAAGGTAAGTATATTATCCCCATTTTATAGTTGAGGGAACTGAGATTAAGTAATTTTCCCGAAGTCATACAGCTACTATCAGAACTAGCATAGGATCTTAGGTTTTTCTGACTCTAAAGCCCTTAATATTTCCACGATTCTATACCTTTTCTCATAAGAATTAATAGGTTAATGCTCAGGAAATCAGGGAAGAAAAAGATCAAATTCAGGGAAGGTCTCCTGGAGAACGTGAGGTGATGAAGACGGGGACAGAAGTGAATAGACAGATAAAAGGGCAAAATGTCTACATGATCCTAAAAATCACAATTGAATAAGATACTAAAGGATTTTGTAAAGTATGTGTGTAATATGCTTAACCTAATACTGGCCAGCATAAAAGGCAGGGTAGGGAACTGGGAACCCCGGGAGACTCTGGGAACTCTAGCTAGCTCCCCCACCACTGGCTGTCATACCTTGGCTAGTATTTCCCCTCTCTGGAGTTAAAGCTGATGCCTCTAAGGTCCCTCACAGGTCTAAGATCTGTCAACCATGACAAACAGAACAGAAATCAGAGTGAACAGAATATATTTTTAAATGGGTGACTTCATACAGAAGAGGTGTTGGATGGGAAGATCTAGATGAGACGGCTTTTTCCTCATTTTAGTCATTCAGAATTCAATACAATACAACAGCCAAGGATTTAATTATCTAAAAGCCAAGCTTAAGAGTCGACAACTTTCTGGAAGACACTCATATTATGGCCTGAACTCTTTCAGCTCTGGGAAATGTGCTTCCTCTCCCCTGCAATGCTCGGCATTATTTATCAGGACAAAAGTAATCTATTTTGGGACTGTATCCACAAATGCCAACCTCCCTCTCCTCAGTCAGCAAATGAAGAGCAGTTCCGGCTGTGGAGCAAGTAGAAAAGTGGAACAGGAGGGCTGTGACACAGTGAATGAATGAATGAGGACACAGCTGCTGCAGTGTATTACAAAAATACTTGTCCCATGAGCCAGGAACCAGAGAAGGATTGCATGACTACCAAAGAACCTGTCACGGGGCAAAATCTAGTGTGTGAGTAGCTTCAGATACCAGAGACCCAGGGTGGGTGGTGAGAGCAGTGAGTCTGGGGCCTGTGATGCAAGCAACTGAGAGCTGTTTTACAAATATTATTGACAGGATGGATCGTTTCAATTAAAACACATTTATATATTAATAAATATTACTTAAAATAGCATTTGTTGAGTGCATCCTTTGTGCTAAGTAATTTATATATATACCATTTCACTTACCTTTACAGGTAACTGCCTCCATTTTATAGAGGAAAAAATACAGGCTTAAGTAAATTGCTCGAAGTTGCACGTTTGGTAAGGGGTGCCAGGAATTCAAACCCAGGTCTGCCTGAATCCAAAGATCATGTTTTCTGTTCTGCCACACTATCTCTCAAAATAGTGATTCCAATTTATACTACCGAAATTCACACGCTAATAATAATAGCCTCAATAATCCCACCATTTGTTGAGGACCTTCGATGTGCCAAACATCATCCCTTAATCCTCAGAACCACTCTGTGAGGTAGATATTTCTACTCCCATTTTATAGTGAAGAAAGCAAAGCTCGGAAGTTGAATTAATATGCCCAATGCACATAGCTAATAAGTGGTGTTCTAGGTGACTCCATAACCGGGGTTCTTTCCACAATCACACACTCCTGATGGAAAGAAAGCAAGTTCTGCAATTACATGACACGCTCACTTTCCTCCCTGGGCTGAACAACACCTTGATCTGTATTCCAATACTTGCAACAGAGCAGTGGTTCCTTTCATCTTGGGCATCTTTCATAGCCCGCTTCCTGCCAGGGTCCATCTGTCAGTAGTTTCAAGTCCTTCTCACTGGTCTCCTACCCTTAGTCAGTGTCCACCACTACTTTTCTCACATACAGAGCTAATGCCAGTCCTCAGCCCATAATGATCCACCTACTACATAAGCAACTCCCTGATCAGAAATTGAAACATGTTCAGACACTTCTAATTATCTGAAAGTTCTTCCACGTAGAAAATCCAAACCAGTTTCCCTGTAACTTCCATGGTTTGAGATTAGTTCCCCCACTCCGGGACCACAGAGAATAAGTTCAGCTCTTATTTCTCCTACCAGCGCCTCGAGTATTTGAAGGCAATGATCATTTCCCCACCCCTGCCCTCAGGTTTCTTTTTCCCAAATTCTTTCAAAAATTGCTTTCCTTTGTAGCTTTTCTTTTGGTCATTCTCCTTTGAACATTTGCTATGTTGACCATCAAGTCTGTCACTGCACTGGGTCCTCATGACAGTTAGGAGCACAAGTTTTAGATTTGCACAGACCTGGGTTTGCGTATCAGCACTTCTATTGTACTAGCTGTATGATACTGGGCAAGTCACTTAAGAAAAACCTGGCCTCATATATTATGATTCCATTTATACGTAATGTCCAGAAAAGATAAATTCATACACAGAAAGTGTAGTGGTTGCCAGAGACTGGGGGCAGGAGGGAATGGGGAGTGACTGCTAATGAGTATGGGGTTTCTTTTTGGGGTGATGAAAATGTTCTGGAATTAGGTGATAGTCACACAATTTCGTGAACATAATAAAAACCACTGAATTATTCACTTTAAAACGATGAATACTAAGGCGTGTGAATTATATCTCGATTTTTAAAAAAATAAATACCTGACCTCACACAACTGCTGGAGGCCACAGCTGAGCTCTGTTAAGCCCAATTCCCTAACTTCCTCTAGGACTAATTCAGTTTCACAGTACTTTCCTGAAAT